CGTTTAAGCTACCTTAAAGGTGCCCCCACTAAACCAAAATCCTGGATCCGCCACTGTATGTATCTATCTTGAGATATAAATGAAAATCTTTTATAAATGCCAAAAAGTAAAGGAGCCCAACAACAATACACGTCATGATCATAGGATTCCATAATTTCCATAGCTACTAACATGTGGTTCAATGAACGAACCCCTTTTACCACCATAGATCGTTTTAATGGGTGTTGTTGAGCCATCGATAATGAATAAAGATAAAATATTTGATATTTTATTGATTATAATTGTATCTGATTTTTAATCTTTTTAACAAATTAATAGTGTAAATTTATATATATAATTGGTAGATAGAAAGAGGAGGAGAAATTTAGGGAAAACAAAATTTTATCTATCAACATCCATGCAACGATGCATTTACAAATCTTTTTGTTTAATTCCTTTTGTTAATGTTAGTATCGTTCAATGTACGTGCACTGATACTATCACTCTGTGGCAACTTCAGGAATTAGTGAATTTCTTCGTGAGCAAAAGAAAAACGCACATAAAAGAATGCCTTTTTAAAAAGGGTCCTAATAAAATTAATTAAAATCAATATATATTTAAATAAGAAAAAACAAAAAGTAAAACAATAAAAAGACAAAAAAGACTAAAGGAAAAATATATATGAAATGATGGCCTAGAAGTAGGGGTGCCATTGGTATTCATTAGGGGTGCCAATAACCTCGCCTTTTGGATTCATTAACATATATGGCACGCATAAATTACGCATGCAAAAGACTAAGATTCAACCTTCGGCCCAAATTCTATTTATCAGGAGGCCTTCATTTCAGATTTTTATTTTTATTTATTTCAGTTATGATAATCATGAAATAAATGTTTATTCATTTTTGCATTTCTAAAAACATAGTATTTTGTAATTTTAAAGATATTGAATTAAAACTGAATGATTTAACTCCTCAAGATATGTTTTCAGATACCACTATCTAATTACAACATGCTTATTATCTATTTATAATCTTTTTTTAGTTTTCAGCCGCATAACACACATATATATATATATATATATATATATGAATAAAATTGTGTGAATTATGTATTAAATCATATGGCTTCTACTAAAGTATTAGTTATTTTTTGTTATTTAGCAACGAATTAAATACAATACACAATTCTTTGATATTTATTAAATAGTTAACGTATAAATAAATATTACAAAAAAAAAAATACTATATATAATTATTAATGAAAATATAATTAGAAAACTTTAAATCACTATACAAAATAAAGCCATAAATTTAAACGAAATATAATTATAAACTGTCAGTCTCAATCGTTAAGTTAGTCAAAAATTATTCTTTGACGCTGGTTATAAGATTGGTTCGAGTTATCTGTAATCAATTTTTTTATCTGAATTGAACTTTAAATTTACTTGGTAAAAAACCATAAATTTAAATAAAATTAAAAATACAACAGTTCAAAGATCAAAGTTTATTGGGATTTCCATTGAAAAAAACTGAAATCAAACCTAGAAAAGTCAAATCGTAATTATTTATAAGCATTTACATTAATTATTCATGTAATAGCATCAATTAAGAACTTTTCAAAATCATGATCATATGGCTTCAATTGTATTCTAATCACATCCTTTTTTCTTTTATTAACCTGGATATCTAATCCGCTATGCGAGCCAACTAATTTCGAGGCAACCATCTGCTTTACAGATTGCCCGGAGTCATCGCATTTAAACTTTCGTGACCACAAGAGAATTTTTATTCCTCATTGGATTTGAAGCTGGGACCAAACCAATCAGGCAATACCTTATGGTTATCCTTAATTTTTTTTAGGGAAAAGTGCAAGTATATATTAAACACCTTATTCATTAATACCAAATTTAGTCTATGGAATGGTAGATGTTTCGTCTTTTCATCATCAATAACATCCATTTGGCTAAACGTTATACTTTGACTTCAAATAACATACATTCGTCAAGACTTAATAAAGCAAAAGATTGGAATACAATTGAAGCCATGATTTTGAAAAGACAATGTGATTAGAACTTGTTTAGAAACTCTAGTATGTGGTTGTTGGTCTCAAGAGGCTTCTCTTGGTTMGCAAAATGGGCAACACCTTCCATCACAACGACTTCCTCCAACAATGGAACATCTGCCTCAAAACCACCATTGTGAATGTATTCCTTCATGCCTGGCATATGATACACCAGGTCCAGGTCTCCGATCATGAACTTCGATGGCACCATCACTTTAGCTCCCCGCCATGCTGACGTTAGTTCCCAACTCCTATTATACATACATACATACATACACACACACACACACACATATATATATATATATATATATATATATCGAGAAGGTGGTCAATTTACGAAAAGGGAAGAAGGTGCAAGATCACGTGTAATCACATGAACATGGCTGGAACTTACTATTCTCATATAAATCAAGAACAACTTACAAATGAAGAGCTCGATAATAGTTGACTCCACCAGTGATGCCAGTCTTTTGGAGTTGGTTGCCATAGTATTTGAGATCTTCTTCCGACAACCAAGGTGGCAAGGTGCCTGGGGAATCACCAGGTGAATGTCGAAATCCTTTGCCTTTAGGAAAATAAGTTTGTTCCGGGTCTCGATATGCCAAGAATTTCTTCATAATTGTTTCAGGACTCATTTTAGCCAACTCCGCTTCAATTTCTCCGGGTTTCTACACATATATGAATATGAATCATGCCTATATCTTTAATGCTTTCGAGTTAAATATCTAAGAATATGTAGAAACTCCACTAAATTACTCTTCAAAATAGCCTTGAAAAAAGAATGAAAGTTCGGACAAATATTAAGGAGAAGGTGACAAGGTGTTCAAGTCTAAGCCAATATAAGACTAACACGTCTCCTTCAACCGAGGCTATAGACGGGCAAAGATGTCCCAGATTGACAAGTCTCTACCAAAGATCACACATGGTAGACTTTTTGACTCTAATACCTTGGGATAATATGTGTAACCCCAATGGATTACTCTTGAAAAGAGGTCTTTGGAAGTGGGATTTACGTATTGGTACATAATATCAAATCTAAGCTGGTTCTACCACCTTAGACACTCGACACTTTAGGACAATCTTCACATGTCTGACCCCATCTCACCACTTTAGGATAATTTGTTCCGTCTAGCTCCTATTGGTCGGGTGTGTTAAGGTCTCAAATCACCTAAATTTTAACCATTCTTTGTCCACATATGTTGGGACCTCTTCATTTCTCAAATACATTTTCCTTTGAACAGTGCCGTCCCTGGGGAGGGCGGCATGGCCACTGACCAGGTCCCAAAAATATCATGGACCAAAATTTTCCCCTAATATATAGTAGTAGTTTAAAACAATTAAATAAATTAAAAAAAACCCAATTTTTTTTAGCATATATATTTTGGTTTCAAATTACCTAATAAGAAGTACTTAAATGTAAGAACTATCTTGTATATCTATTAAAAAGATAAATAAGATTTTTTTCCTCGGTAAATTATTATCATTTCTTGTACTTAATTTTATGCTAATGAAAAATATTTACTGAATTTTTGGTACTTACTGATAGCCACTATAAGAAAGGGAAGCTTTGATGATGAGCCACTATAAGAAAGGGGAGCTTTGATGATGAGCCACTATAAGAAAGGGGAACTTTGATGATGCGCCTTTTAATAATGACATGCTTCCGCCACAAGTTATAGCAATGACATGTTACTATATACTCTTTCTAATGATAAATGGACTTTTAGCGACGACAAAGATCGTTGCTAAAAGCCTTGTTTCTTGCCGTGGGTTTTGTTTTTATGTTCGACCAAGGCTTATAAAATTATAAAATATCAGAAATGGGTGTGTCCTTAAATTGAGTAATCTAATAGAATTTCACATGTTCTAACAAAATCAATTATTATAATAATCTGTATAATAGAAATAATTCCTCATACGGAAATCCACCTGAAATCTGCTCATGTAGTGATCCTCCCCGTACGCAGTTCTCAACACCTCAGCCAAATCTCCCTTTGGGTTCCACGGAAGAAAGGGAACGCTCAGGTTCACCAGAGCTTTGACTCTATCGGGCCTAAACATACAGAGGTGCCAAGCAATGATGGCACCCCAGTCATGACCCACAACAAACACCTTTTCACCTTGGTTTGTGATGGCATCAAGAAGCCCAATCAAGTCACCCACCAGATGGTGGATMGTGAACTTGGTGGGGTCGTTCAAGGGTGCACCGGTTGTGTCACCATAGCCACGGAGGTCTGGAGCCACTGCTCGATAACCATGATCAGCCAAATATAAAATCTGGTGACGCCAGGAGTACCAGAGCTCAGGGAAGCCGTGGAGGAACAAGACTAATGGACCTTC